TGATTTGTATAACTGTGGGTCCAACAGCAGGGCAGGTCCTGAAGAAAACCAGTTAACAGCAGGACAGGTCCTGAAGAAAACCAGTTAACAGCAGGACAGGTCCTGAAGAAAACCAGTTAACAGCAGGGCAGGTCCTGAAAATAAACAGTAAATAAAAGGAGAAGCTAAACGAGTTAAACCGTTTTTGAAGCGAACACAGCAGGATAAAGTATATGGACTTTGATGTGATCATCAGCCGGACATTGAGAGCAACAGACAGAGTTTTATGTCATGGGGGGAGTGCCGAGCTCGCTCGACATGCTAGACGCATGCGCTATATGCGTAACGTTAAAGCTGACGAGGTACACTTGGCTGCAGCATGCAGCTCGGGGCGGTGACAGACCTTTCCGTCAGTCATACCTTATATGGAAATGGGACTATTGCGTTCCGGAAATGAAGGTTGCTCCTTAAAGATGCGGGATTAAGAGAGCAAAGGAAGAAGAAAGGAAGAAGTTAGAGAGTTTCTTCTACTCACGTTTAAGTACTCAGAGCATTATTTATTAATTTCTTTTATCCACCTCCCCAAACACAGACCCTCAGGTTAACCTGACAGGTTTAATGCCTAAGATTAGTTTGTTACTGTAATATAATTTTAATATCCAAAAACAACAAAGTTTTAATAAAGATTTGAAAATGGAAAAGGGACATACCACGTGACATAACACGTTGTGTAGCCATTTCCTTACTGTAATTTTTTTTTATTAAACAAGAAAGAACACAGAAAATGATACAATGTACAAACAAAAAGGCGTATTTCAAACAAACAAACAAACTTGCATAAAAGAGAAAAAGGATGGGTGCAAATAAAGATAAGAAATTCCTTACTGTAAAATTTGTATTTTTAATGTTGAAAGTGTTCGATAGAAAATAGTGTCACTAGCGCCCCCTTAATTTCCGGAATGCAATAGTCCCATTTCCATATAAGGTATGGGACTGACGGAAAGGTCTGTCACCGCCCCGTTCTGCATGCTGCAGCGAAGTGTACTTGAAGCTGACTACAGTTGGAAAAAAGAGCACACAAAACACTTAATTTGTCTTAAAATACAGACATTCTGACAAATAAGTAACAGTTTGTAACCTTACCTCAGCTTAGAAAGCAGAGGGTGTCGGTCTTTTCCGCTCAGATTCAGCTATCGGAGCATGAAGCTAATGTTTACTTACAATGCTAATGCTACCCTTACTCTCTGGCACTGAAGACGTAGAGGAGCCAAATGGCTGGCTCACTGCTGCCAACTAGTGGTCAGAAGCTGAACTACAACATAAAAATGAACGGCTGGCAGGAAAGTTGACATTTTAAACCTTAATAAAAAATCAATACAGGGCTTTAGAATATCGATACAGTATCAGGAAATGAAATATCGCGATGTTTTAGTGTATCGATATTTTCTTACACCCCTACTGTACACTGCAGGTGTGGGGAAAATAAAGAGGAAAGGATGTACAGGAATCAGACATGTCATGATTATGACTTTTTTCCACGTAATATTACGACTTTAATCTCGTAAATTATGACTTTATTCTCGTAACATTGTGATTTTATTCTTGTAAAATTACGACTTTAATCTCCTAATATTACGACTTTATTCTCAAAAATTACAACTTTAATCTCATAATAATTATTAAAAAATCTCGTTGTGTGGCCCTAATACTCCGTCGTAGTTTTGTACATAGAAAAAGTCTTAGATTTATGAGTTCAGCCCATGAAAAATGGGAGCGAAAACATAATTGTTGTGTTTATACTTTTGTTCATTGTAAATACATGTTTATGAATGAGAACCTGTCATGTTCTGGGAGCAGGAAGACAAAGTCAGTGTCAGGTTGAGTCTAACTACCATCATTTCATTTAAGTGGAATCTCTCTGGTATCAACAGCTTTCTGCTGCTTGGTTACCGAAGCATCTGAACTGGGATGAAGTTTAACTTTTTTTTACCTGTTTAATTTCAGAACAATGGATGCAGCCGATGTCACAGACGAAGATGAGCTTCTGGACCCTGATGTTCAGATGATCATTCAGGACTCGTGTCAAAGACAGCGTCTGAGGTGTAGGAGTGAAACTCTGAAGCTTCTAAAGGCTGTGGAGCGAGGTGAAGCCAAACAACACCTTCATACTGATGGTGACAAATAAAACAAAACAAAAGAAAAGAAAAAAAGGACACTTTTAATGTTTTGTATGGCAAGAAAAATGCATTTAAAATGACCTGGAATCTCATGTAATAAAGAAAGCAGCTTTTATACTGAAAACTGTTTCTCTGCTCCTTTTCCCAACAAACATGAAACTCCTCCCCCTGACACGCCTCTTTTTAAATATTTTCATATTTTTAAACTTTTCTGTGCAGGATTAGACGTGTCTGCATGCAGAAAAAGTATTTTATTTATGCTGTTTTTGACTTCTTATAAAAGTGTCTATAAACATATTGGCAACAAATATTACATGTATAACAAATAAAATATGAAAAAAGAATATTATTTGCTTTAACAGCTATGTACATTTGTTATTTCTTCACTATATTGGTACTTGTACTAATATAGCTCACTGAAATAATGTGTTTTTGGTAAATGCTTGGCAGTAAGTTACAAAACTCTTTAAATTCTTATAAAAGAAGCAAACATTGACTGTTTGCAGGAGATCTGTTGGCCGTGCAGGAGCTCAGTGACCCTTCAGTCTGCAGTCAGGTGGATGAACATGGATGGTGTCCTCTGCATAAAGCTGCAGTCCAGCCTCAGCTCAGAGTCCTGGAGATGGTTTTATTTGGTGAGTAGGATCTCATTTCACACAATGACCCAAAGAAAAGAGAGAAATGCTGCTGCTTCTCACAGCTAAACATTTGTAGAGGAAGAAGTCCGAATAACAGTCTAATCAAAACCAATTTAAAACTATTCACAGATTCTTTATTTATATAAACCATTTTTAGTGAAGTATATTTATTTTTTAAAAGTTCATATTGTGGATTTAATAATCCAAGGGCAACGTGTCTTTTTCCTCCTGGCTGCTGGGAATATTCTCCAGTTCCTCCTGACTGAGCAGAAATTACACGTTTCAGTCCAAATAAATTCATGTTTAACCCTCAAACATGACTCTGAGATAAAATAATGCTTCACCTTTTAGTTTTTCCTTTAATTTCACATTATTTAAACAAATATTGCACAAATTGGACAGCATGTATTTAAATGGATTATAATTATATTAATTATTCAGTAAACTGTCTTTTAATGAATGATATTACACTGCAGGAGGGAGGTGGTGCAGTGGAACAGGATGGCTCTGCAGTTTGTTAAATTAGTATATAAAACCTAAACTCTATAAAACTTAGATTATCATAGAGATTTGGGCTGAATTTATTCTGAAAACAGATTGTACTGAATTAAACTGCAGATTTATTTAACTTGTGTTCTGTCACAAAGTGGTTTTAGGAGCTCATCAAATCTGAGTAAAAGTGAATTATTCTGAGTTAACTTCAGCTGAATTGATTTGTTTCATGTTTGTTATGATGCAGCTTCTGTCAGTCTGACTCTGGAGGAGAGGACTCTGGATGGGGACACGTGTCTCACGCTGGCGGTCAGAGCTGGTTTGGTGGAAAATGTGGAGCTGCTGCTGGAGCACGGAGCTTCTCCTCACACCACCAACTCCAAGAAGGAATCTGCTCTGCTCTTAGGTCACATCCTGTCACCACAGCTTTATAGTAACTAAGTACATTTACTTTGTTACAGTACTTAAGGAAGGATTTGTAATTTTACCAAGTTTGTTTTAAATCGTTACTTTGTTACAATTACAACTTAAAAATGATACTTTTATGTCTTTAAAATTTAACACCTCGTTACAAAACTAAATCTGTCTGAACACAGGAAAGGAGTTGTTTATGCACTCTAAAAATGAAGTGTTGAATTTACTCAAACAAGTCATGTCAACTGGTTCCACTAAACCAAGTAGAGTAAATATGAAATTATATACAGTATATATTC